GTCCCGCGGGGAGCCGGGGCGGCGCCGGGCGCACGGGACACTCGCGGGGCCCCGCGCCCCCGCGCCCCGCCGAGATGGCCTACGTGCAGGTAGGGCGGGGGCTGCCCGCGGGACCCCGGGGACGGAGTCGGGGTGGCCACAGGGATGCTGCCTGGCTGGACGGGGCAGGGCGCGCGCAGAGTCCTGCCCTGTCCTGGCAGTGGGGATGGGGGTGGCCTTCAGTCACTTTTGCCATCAGAGCCGGTCCTGCTAATTGCCAAGGCGGGTGGGGACGGTTAGGCGGTGAGCGAGGGGCCTGACTGACCCTGCAGGACAGCAGCTGGGGCACCCCCTTCTCCACAGCCAGGTGGGTCCTGCAGCCCAGCCCCCGGGTGGATAGGATCATGCATATGGGGTCCCATGTGAGACTGAAATGGGCACCAAACACTGGCAAAGGGGACTGCCCCATGAGCCCTGTCAGTGCCAGGATCCCATCCCCTTCCCCCTGCAAACTGCTTCAAAACAGCTGCGGGAGCACAAGCCCCTGAAAGCCAGACACGCTTAGAAACGTCCTTCGAAGGAGCCGTGTGACCCTCACTGGCGAGTGGCCTGGAGCCCCCAAGGGATACAACAGCTCGCAGCTGGACCTGGCAGTGGCTGGGACGTGCCACGGTGGAGCGAGGGCTTGTCTGCGTGGGGAGGTTTCTGTGCAGGAAGATGCCGGCATCCATTCACAGTGCGATGGTTACCTCATATTGACTGCCTGTGAAAGTGGAGGACTCGGTGAAGTGTTTGTGGGCGAAGGGGGGCTGGTGCAGATTTACTGCTGTGTGCTCCACTAACTTTGCTGTGTGGACAAGGTTTGGGGGCTCTTGTGAGCTGACTGCCATTTGAAATGCTAACATTGTAGACCAGGCCCTTGGAACAGTCATTTGATCTGGTTCAGAGGATGAGTTTGGATGCCTATGGTTTTCCAGTTAAATGCTTGTGGGAGATGTCAGTCAGGACTCTGGATTCTTACCCTGGTGCTCCCACTGCCTCTCTGGTTTGTGCCTTGTGTAGTTGAATTATTTTGCCTTGCTAAGTGTGTAGGTCACCCTTTCTCGGTTGCTGACCACAGTGCACTGACCTGCCTCACAGGCCTGGCCTCAGAGTGAGCCATTTTGTCAGTTGAGTTGTTTGAGATCCTGAGATGACAGGTTTTGTGGGTGTCCAATGCCCAGTGAGGACTGTAAGAAGATTTTCCACTCATTTTGCTGGACTAAAATCAGGCTTTGGGTGAATATGGTATATTATCATCTCTAGTTTCAAAGATGCGTGCCTGGCTTAGGAGCATCAGTTCCATTAACCTCCAACAGGACCTGCACGTTAACAAGGTGCTTCTGAAAAATTCACCTCTGCTGTTCTTTGCTGTTTATCTCTGATATCAAGGGAGTAGTGATGGGATGCTATTAGTCCTCCCAAAAAAACTCTGGGTCTCATGTGATTTGTGGGAGTCAGAGAGCAGCTGAGCACACCAGTGTCCTAAAGAGATCGCAAAGGTCATGATGACAGTAACACCCTGAACTATGGCAGGTCCTGGAAGCCATGGTAGCAATGAACAGCAGGCAGCAATCTCAGCTACCGCTCATTTACAAGGAGTTGTTTTATTACGGGACTTCATTTGTGGCACAGTGACTCACAAATGGATTGTGCACATGAGTTGAGCAGATGGTCCTGACTGTGTTTCCTCAGCAGATCTAGTATAATAAACTTAAGTTCAGCAGTGTTTGATGTGGCATTCCTTTTGCGGTCCCCGGAGCCTCGCCCCTTCTCCCTGGACATGCTGTGGCAGGTCCAGTCTGCCCACGTGTGCTGGAGCATTGGTGCTCTTCATTTCCAGCTGGGCTTGACCAGCACCGTCTGCCCATCACACTATTCTCATCTTATGTCGTTTTCCAGCCTCTCCCCCTGTCCTCTGAGTGACACGGACAAAGACAGCTGTTCACGTTTGGTTTTGTTTTTTTTTTTCATGGATCTGTGCATTCATCTGTACATAGCACTGGCTGTTTATTTTCCTCTTCTTGGCTGTGACATTTGGCCCTTCTTTTTTGGATCATCAATCCCATATTTCTAGCCAGGGCTTCTGAGGGAATTTAGGTGGGCTTATAGATGCAGTGGACTCCTGTTACTTCATTATGGTGAATGTAGGTAGCTTTGCTCATGCTGCTGGGGTTGCTGACAGCCCAGGGACATGCAGTATTTTGAAGCAGATACCGGTGGTTTTCTCCATTTACTGGGCACATGCAGCCAGTAGGGCTGTTAGGTGCATGTCTGCCCATTACTATTTCCCTCTGCTGCACCTCCTGCTTCTCATGGTACATCCATGGAGTTGACTGCATGACACGGCATGAACCCAGTGGACTAGTTCTAAGGCAGTTTAAGTATTTTGGGTGCAGCCTTGACATAATCCGTAACCATTATTACCACAGTTTAGTGCACAGATCAGGCCCCGTGGCTTTTTAAATGATTTATCTTGGGTATAGCCATATCAAAGCACAAGGTTTTCCTGTTTCTCAGCCCTGGCTTCAAACAGAAACTGTTATTTTCACTAAGAGACAGTTTCTGAGAAACTGAAGATGGACATGATGTTACAGAGTTTTCTGTAGAAAGTTTTTTGTTACAAGTGATATACTCAAGTACCTTTTAAGAAAGTTTGCCATAGTCTGTACCTTGTATACCAGTGTTTCTCAACCTGTCGGTTGTAAGAATATATGAAAAGTTGCAAACAAAGTTTAAAAATGGATCAACACACTTAAAAAATGGATTCTCCTTTAAAGGAGAAAAATGTGGGAAACTGGCTTTTCCTTTGCAGGCTGGCAGAGGTCCAGCCTGTGGGGGCTGCTTGGGGCTTCTTCCTCCCCGCCCCACACACGGGTGTGCGGGCAGGGAGCAGTGGGTCAGGAGTGAGGGGCACTAGGTCAGGACTGGCCATCACTGTTTACAAATGGGTCCTGGTACAAAAAAGGTTGAGAACCACGTCTGTAAAAAACAGAGACATTAGAATTTGAATTTATATTTAGCAGGAGAGGGAGGAGCAGTCTACTGAAGATCTCCCTTTATATATGTGGTGGAGACAGCAGAGGAAATACAGCAGAAATCCCAAATCTTGTCTTTTTAAAATAAAATGTTGGTGAATTTTGTACCCATGAAAGTAAAAGTGCTGATAGCTTTAGTTTTCACAAGAACAGCACAAGCTGATCATAGTCACCTAAGAGTGGGAGGATAGTCTTGCAATTAAAACACCAGTATAGCACTTTGGGGACTCTTCCTAGCTCTCTCATTGACTTCCTGTGTGACCTTCGGAAAATCACTTTAGCCAGATTGTTAATGGATTTTTAAATATTATTTTAATTACAGTTGAATCTTGACCAAAATGTAACTCTAGGACTTGGATGTGATTTACAACTGTCACAGGAAATTGCGGTTGAATTGAAGTTGTTCCCAGGTAGCCATGAGAAATATGGTCACACATCCTGTCCCCTTAATTGGTAGCTTCCCTTTTCTTAAACAGTGAGCAAGTTTGCTGAGACTCTTCCAGGGAAAGGTGAGTGACAGGAGTCTGGAGGGGAGAAAGGGGCAGGGAGGAAATCAGTGCCCTGTTTGGACAGCCTTTTGCCTTACCTGAAATTATTTAGGGCAAACTCTGGAAATAGCATTACGTTGCTTAAAATTAAAGCTCCTCCTCAGGCTGGCAGGTGTCAGGCAGGTCACTTAGAGTTATTTGAACATTGCTAAACTGGTTTTGTCTTTTTCATTTTATTCCCCTTTGCTTCATCACGGATATCTAAAAGGACAGTTGGAACCAATAAATGAGGTGAGTTAATCTGATGATTCATTCCCTGTTCTCTTTCTGTCCAGAGAAGATGGTCTTGAACGTTCTGAATCTTTTCTAATGTCCTAGATAGATATGGATTACCAGATTCCTGGGTTTGTTTATAGAAAAACCATGGCGAGGGGGAAGGAGTAAATTTCATCTGTTTAAAATGGATGTGGAAAAACATCTCCTTGATGTAGTAAGTATGTAGCCCTTTGTGTCTGTCTTTGCAGCCCTGTGTTCCTAGGAGGGAACCTGCCCAAGTTTCTGCCTGGTGATACAGTACTGCAGACCTGACACATTTCAAAAATTTTTAGTGAACTAAAAAAAAAAATCTCCAATTTGTGGTTTATTAGGGTTCATTGTATTCTGGCAGGGGCATCAAGCTCACCTTGTGCTCTGGGCTAGATTGGGGCCGTAGGGCTCCTAGCAGGCCAGATTTCTTCCAGGACACAGGATGGTGGCATCGGGGCAAGTGGCTGCAAGCTGGGCAGGCATTTGTAGCAGTACGTAGCCATGCAAGCAGTGCTTGGCCAGGCAATGCCAGGGTGACCAAAGGCTGCATCACACATCCCTTGCTCACTTTTCTGCTGGCGTGCGGCAGGCCATGCCCACTACTAACCATGCCTCCTAGTCTAATGGTAGCCCAGCAGGCCTGATGGAGTTCTCTGCAGGCTGTATGTTTGACATCCTTGCATTATGGGATTCACCTGAAAAGGGAGCCAGATTGAGAGACTGTCAGTCCTATGCACTGTTCTGCGAGCCTTCCCACAGCCCCCAAGAAGGGGACAGGGATGGGTGGAAAAGGGATGGAGCCCTGGTACTTATTCCCTCTCCTCTCTCTCCAATCAGACCTTGCCTGGTATGGACAGAAGGGGGTTGCTTCCTTTTGCTTGCATTGGCCAACAGCAAGTCTCTGCTGTCCTGGAGCAAGGAAGGGAGAAGAGGAAAGAAATTGTAGCTCCTTTAAACATTTCCACTGGGATGTTATTGGTGTAATGCAACAGTGCAACACCCCTTATGCTTGCTGTGTGGAGGGTTATGTATCTATAATATAGTCTGTATGTAGCCAACCACCAGCACCGCTGATGGTTACTGCTGTTACTGTGCCAAATTGGGCTATCCAGGTCATTTCTGCCCAGGGCAAGTAACTTGCTTGTTACTAAAATCAGTAGGGTGTCTTTTACCCCTGCAAATTAATCACTGTGGTAAGGAGCAGGCACGCAGATTTGTGTCTAGGCTGATGCATCTTTATGACCAATCTATAAGGCTGCAATACTGTGCATTTATGTGGAGTGTATGACATCACCTGCTGACATATCATCAGTATTAAAGTGTATCCAGACTTGTGCTAGTTTTATTCAACTTTAAAATGCCTTGCAGAATAAAATTGGGATTTTTGCTAACCTCCTATTTTTACTTCTCCCTGCTGTACATTTGCTTTTGTATTTGTTTATTTGTTGATGCAGGTGAATACGTCTGTTTCCACTCCAGCATATTGTTCTGCGTTCATGTTCTGTAAATCACTCACTTGCTAACATACATAAGATATTGTACAAAAGCAAATACCTGCAGTGAATGTTTATTTCCCTGCCTAGTTATGGCTTTAGTGAGATTGGGCCAATAACTGTGTGGCACTTGTCTGTTTATATAAATGGAATAAATGTAGTTCCTAATGTTCTGTTCTAGACACAAAAATGTAAATACAGCTGAGTATTATTTCTTGCTAGTGATCAACTGGTTGTAATCTTGTTCTTTGGTTTCCAATGGCCTCAGGGTCTGCTCGCTAGAATCTCGGATCTCTTGCTGTGCAGATGGACTTGTAGAAATTGTTGTCAGAAGTGTTTCGACTGCAGCTGTTGTCAGTCGAGTGAGGATGAAGTTGAAATCCTGGGACCTTTTCCGGCTCAGACACCAGCCTGGCTGTAAGTTTAGATGTGCATTTTAAGGAAACGGTTATCTTCAGTTGATAACAGTGTGACAGAAGTAAAAGTATTTTAGCAATGTGAGGACATAAACTTGCCATAGCATAAACTTAAATACTTTCCAGATACACAAGATGCCATACACCTGCTTAATGGTACCCCTAAAATAAGAGTGAAAAGGAAGGAATGTGCTTTAGGAAGGAAAATGCTGTGTGTAGCTAGGATCCTGCAGACCCTTTTAATACAGGTAGTCTTTGAAATAGAGCTGCAGTAGTCCTTAAAGGCAGACATTTTCTTGCAAACCAGAACAGTAAGTTGGTAACTGGTCCAACGTTCTGTCTTGCAGAGGGCAAGATGTTTCATTTAAACCTTATATCATCTCTAAAGCAGACTGTATTGTTTTGAGCCCTTTTAACTCTTTGAGTGCTATATCTTTCTAATTTGCTATGAAAGCAAATGTTTAAGGAGATTTAAATTAATTTGTATGTTAACTTAGTACACTGGCTGTTTTGGGAACATGGGATGCTAGCTTTTTTGGCAATGGGGAGTTATGGTCTATTCTACAGATTACCATACTCTAAGCACCAGATAACTGTCTGGATGAAAAAGGGTGAAGACAGGACCTATGCCTCTCATTTGTTCTGTATAAGTTTGTCACCTGCATCTGTGCAGACCCTTTTAGAAAATGATTGAAATAGCTTTTAACTTTAGCTATTTACAAGACAAATCTCTAGTCATATGAGGACCTAGCTTGGGTGCCTTAGGCACAAATTGAACATATGCTACTCAGGGAAACTTGACCAAAATATTGACTAGGCTTCTTTTAAGAGTGAAAAAGGGGTCTTGGAATTATTGTGATGTAGCCAAAGTAAGGGAGAGATTTTCCTAAGCTCCTAGGTGAGAGCTTTACTCTGGGATACCTACATTTTTAATGAGGCATGAGTTCCTAAGTCATTCAGGTGGTTTTTGAAAATGTCCTCTTAACCCGTAAATAGTTAACGATAATGCTATCTAGGTTTTATGGTGTGCTTTGATTGGCATCCATTTACAGAAAAGTCAGCATCATTATTGAAGCAGAGAGAGCTGAAATGACTTGGCCAGAGTCACTCAGCAGCCTGTTGACAGAGCTGGGAGTAGAGCTCTGAGTCCTAGTTCGATGTGTTCTCTGCAAGGTTGTAGGGCCTCCCATGAAAGCATGTTACTTGACAATGAAGGGTTAAACCTGCAATATGTTCAGGGACTGCAACATGTGGGGTGCCCATTAATTGCTTCCTTAATGCATCACGCTGTGCTGAGAGGCGGGGGGACAGATGGTTAGACACATGATTACTCCCATCCAGTCCTGACGGTTTCCTTGCTTTTATTTCTTGTCTGTCACATCTCCACGGTTTGCATGCAGATGCTACATAAAATGAATTCTTTTATGTTTAAAGTACGGCCTCTTCTTGCTTTATTGGCTGTTTTGCATTGGGATAGCATTATGGTACAGAAGGGTTAGATGACCTATGTAATGGTTTTTAAGCGCAGTTTTTTAAGGGCCTGCTGTATGCCTAGAAACTGATTTACCTGCTGCTAATGGAAATTGGAAATAAAATCACTGCTAAATAAGGAAACGGTTTGTGCAAGAGAACACCATGATGCGGGCGTTTTATTGGACACAGAAAGCTATGCTGCAGGAGCAATTGAATACTTGTCCCCAAGCAGCCATGCTCGTCATCAGGAGGACATAGAGGAGTTCTGGAAGTGGGCACGTAGGGGGAATATATCTACTGGAGACTAGAAGTGGCAGGTCCTTTGGCAGTAGCTGACACTGCCTGATCTGGCCATAGTTTTTGTGCAGTGGTCAAACTACTTCCTCTGCCTCTATTTCTTTCTGGGCACTTAAACACAGGCAAGAAGCTAGGCAAGGTTGTCCTATAATTCTAGGACCTTCTGAAGCCCAGGACTTCGCAGCATGCAGAGAATATTGACCTCTCATGGACTCCTGAAGTGCTGCCTCCAGCCGGTGTTGTTGATCCTCACCAGTTCTGCTCCCCATACAATTCTTTGGAGCTAATTTTTCGAATGAGTTAACAATGAAAAAAAAAGTTGTGTGAAACAACTAATGGGTCAAAGATTGCAAACCTTTTTGATGCTGTGGTGCATTTGCTCATGCCAGCAGTCCTATTGGGAAACATTCATGAATATTTTTGCTAATACCAAAATTTAAAGTATGCCATTTAAAGAAGAGGGGCAGCAAACTTCTGCACTTGCTCAAATTGGCTGCTGTCTCCTATTAGACTAAATAGGGCCAAACCCAAGACACCTACAGCTAAGATGGCAGCTCTTGTGGCCACTCTCCACCTGTAGCCGGGGCAGGAGACAATGAGAGAGCAGAGCAATGTTCAGTGGTGGCTGTGGGGACAGAGAGGGAAACGGGGATCTGAGGAATATGCTGGTGGGGAGGGCAGATAGTGACTGGAAGAAAATGGGGATATTCTGGGGGAATGTGAATACATAGATGACTAGGGTATGAGAGAGACAGTGTGCTGGGGGAGGACATTGGAAAGATGGAAAGGATAGACATGGGTAGAGGAATTCCTTCCCTAGTAGCTAATGGGAAGGCCACACTTTTGTGCATGCGGTTAAGGTAGAAATGATCTTGCAGACAAGTAATGACTTAACACTGAGAAGAGAAAACAGAAAGCAACTGTTTTCGTTAGTGTAATATCAGGGTTAGTATGTTGGGAAGGGAAGGAGAATACCTGATATTTGAATGCTTGGAACTAGCAGCACTGTACTGCTTAGGGAGGCATGTGAGTAAGAGTTGGGAATGAGGCTGAAAATGAGGTATTTTAATGGATAAGTTATTTTAAAATTGCTCAGAGGGCCAGTTAACACTAATTGATTGTACCTAGGAGCTGTTCAGATACTGTGGTGGACCATAATAAAAAAAACTTATGGAAGATGAATTTTAAAAGATCCTCATGCTGCCTTTAGATACATGCACTGAATTTGGGGAGCAGTTCAATGTACTGGATTTCTCCTCAGTTACCAAGAGTAATTAAAAATAAATCAGGACTCCTAATTCTTCTGTGCACCCAGTAATCCTATCGATGTAATTTAGGGTGTGATTGGTCTTTGGTTTTTTTTTTTCTCCCTGAACCTTTTCACGGTCTCCACATATCAGTTAACAAATTTGTTAATGTCTACATTTATTAGTCCAGTGGTTTTCAAACTTCCTAAAGTCACGGGACCCTTTCATATCACTTCTGCTGCTGTGGAACTCCTACCCCTATCCTGAAGACTGACATGGAGCCTGGTGACCCGGCTTGGCAGAGCTCACTGCGTAAGGCCTGCTCTGTCATTACCCCAGTCTCGTTAGAGAACCCCTGATGACCTACTGTGGAACCCCAAGGTTGCACGGGATGATGCAGTTTGGAAACCACAGTATTAGTTCATCTCTGCAGTGCACCTGCTAACATCTATGAGAATCCAAGTATGCTGGGAATGCAAGATTGGGCTCCAGGGTTGCCAATTTAAGTTCTCTTCTATAGACGATTGATTTTTCTTGCTCCCTGAATTTTTGCAGTACCTTATCATGGCAGCTTTAAAAAAAATTGTCTTGCTGAAACAAATCTAATTATATTGACCTGCACACATGGTAAGTCCTTATTGTCATTCCATAATGATTGTTTGCTTCCTAGCCTTGGCAAAAAATTGGCAGGGAACTGGGGTACTTGTCAGCTATGCATGTTATGAAATACCCGACATAAAAACTCCAAGATAAATGCTGTGTGTTCTGTGAGATTAAATTGAAATTAGAGCTCAATTCTTCTTCTCAAAGGTTCTGATTAAACAAGAACAGAGCTATTCTAAACAGAGCCAAAGTTTATTTGAGTAAAAATGATTGTGGCTCAGTAGCAATTTCCTTACTAAAGGTCATCTGTATGTTATTAACTCACTATTATGTTTGTCTGTTGTAGAACATCCTTAATGCTTTTTTATCCCCTCCTGATTCTCTTTCTTGCTCTTGCTTTCTCCCCATTCTGTGTGCTTGCTTCTCAGACAGAAGTATAAGCACTATGACCCCAATGCTACATTTGGACACTCTGACCTGCACTGAGACCTGAACGAGCGATTTTTATGTCTCTAAGTTTATATCCACTTGCAATATTTGAACAACTTTAACAGTCTGCACCTATTTTTGAAAACTAGTCCCTTGTTCCCTTAACATATGCTTTAAATTTGATAGATGTTTTTCCCAGGGGTTGTGAAGCTTGGGACTATTTAGATTTGTAAGCACTGCTGCACATTTCCTGATTTCTCTATTCCTGAGTTAGGGCTAGGGATAGCTTCAGATCTGGAATTCCTTCTGTGGTTGGCATTTGATCTGGTGTTGCCTGCTTCTTATCACTCTAATACAGTCACAGTTTTGAGGCAAATGACTCCATGTATTCAGTTTCTATCTACCACAGCCAGAAATACAGAAAGAAGGAATTGGGAACAAGCGTAATGATCATCTCTGTTTATTTGCTGAACTTTGGCTGCTATCTGTTGCTATTTTTCTGAGTCCTCATTGTCTCGTGGCTTAACCAAAACATGTATTTAATCTTTGGTGTTTACTGTATGTCATACAGTACTGTTTAGTTCCCTGACTTGAGCGGGGTAATGCCAGGCCTTCACTGGTGTAACTGAAATCAGAATCTTTACTTTGCAGTCGGTGTCTTCATTACTGTGGGCTCTTGCTCTTCTCTGAGCTGAACCATTGAGATTTTGATTTGTTGCTTCATGTGAGCCCTTGCAGCTAGTGGGAGGTTCATGGTTTTCATTGAACTATTTTATGTAGAAATATTAAATTGCAATGTAAATTGTGCATGGATTTTTGTATTGTATTCTTATGAACCTTTGGGCATTTTGAGCCTTCTTGCAGGCTGTGCACCTCACTGATGCCTTCTTATTTAAATTCTATCAAAAAAATGTAGCTGAATTGTGTCCTCCCAGGGACACTTAATTGTACGAAAGTGGATAATGAAACAGACAGGAAGTTTTAAAAGAAGGTATGTCCATAAATCATATTTTACTGTCTCAAATACCCAAACCTTAATGATGAATTTACAACAATATTTTTTAATGAGTGAGAAGTTTTTGTTGGATGTGAAAAGATCACTCATAGTTATTTTCCATGTAGGTTTGTTCCCAATGAGCCATAGTTTCAGAACATAACTATAAATATACACCACTAATTAACCTTACACATTTTCACCAGATAGATGACCAGAGTGCTAATGGCCCAGGGCATACATGTTTGAAATATATAAGCATACCTGTGTAGATGTGTGTTAAATTGCATTGCTGATGAGAGTCAGTTTTTTTGCTTGTATGCTTCTGTCCAAAGGAGAGAACAGTGGGCTCTGTGGAGGACTGAAGTCTGATATCCAGTCTTCTGTTTTCCAATGGGAACTAAAGAATGAATTGTAGTACCCAGGTTTCTGTTTAGAAGATCGGAAATAGGGCTTTTGATTCTATATGTGATGTATACAGTACTCTTACTGGACTCATACATCCCATGGCCTGTCCTTGTAACAGGATAAGCAGTCAGAATGAGGAAAAAGATGGAGACTCTGATAACACCACCAGCGAGCCACCTCCAACTCCGCAGGATACTTCCCCTGACAGGAGGCGGTCATCATCAGATACTTCACGGTCCACTTATAGCCTTACAAGGCGGATTTCAAGTAAGACTATTATGAATGCAGTGTCAATGTAATTTTTTGTGTAAATCAAACCTTGGGTTAGTGACTGGTCTTCTACCTTTTACATAGAAAATCTGGTCACGCCTAAGGTTTGATTTGCATTTGACTACAATTTAACAGTTCATTGGTTTGATTGATTAAAATCCTGTGTTATTCCACAAGTGGAAAAGGGTAAAAGGAGCCAGGCTTATGTTTTAACAAAATGCAAAGGATGACTGTGGCAATCACACACCAAAAAATGGGCAGACGTGAAAATCTATTTGATGTTCATACCTACATTTCAGTAAAAAGAGCTCCAGTCATGGGCCACAGTCTTATTGTGCAGTTGGGCAAGCACAGAACAAGAACAGCCCATGCTCCAGAGAGCTGGCCATCTACATGAGGCCGTGATGACGTCTTTCCAGCTGCTGACGTTGCTGTTTGTTTATTTCTCTTGTTTAGGTCTAGAATCAAGAAGGCCAAGTTCTCCACTAATTGACATTAAACCTATTGAGTTTGGAATTATAGGAGCTAAAAAGGAAATAGTTCAGCCAACTATCCTGAGAAAAACCTATGCCCCAGATGACTACTTTAGAAAATTTGAACCAAGACTTTATTCCCTTGATTCTAACAGTGATGATGTGGACTCCTTGACAGACGAGGAAATCTTATCAAAGTATCAACTGGGCATGCTGCATTTTAGCACACAGTATGATCTGTTGCATAATTATCTAATAGTGAGGGTAATTGAGGCTAGAGATCTGCCTCCTCCAATTTCCTATGATGGCTCAAGACAAGATATGGCTCATTCTAACCCTTATGTCAAGATATGTCTCCTTCCTGATCAGAAGAACTCCAAGCAGACAGGAGTAAAACGCAAAACGCAGAACCCGGTGTTTGAGGAGAGATACACATTTGAAATCCCATTTTTAGAAGCCCAGAGAAGAACTCTGCTTTTAACCATAGTGGATTTTGACAAATTTTCACGCCATTGTGTCATTGGCAAAGTGTCGATGCCATTAAGCGAAGTAGACCTTGTGAAGGGTGGACACTGGTGGAAGGCCCTTGTTCCCAGTTCTCAGGTAATGGAATTTATCAGAGGTTTGTTGCCACTATGTTCTTACTCTGTATGATTCCTTTTCCTTTAAGGAGTTAACTAAAGTGCTAAATAGAGCTGTTGTCACCCAAGAAGCACAGTATCCCTTGGACTGAAAAGACACTGGCCATGTTTTGGGTATCATTCATACCTGTGTTACTCTGGTACACATTCAGGAGTCCCCGCCCCCACTTTTTTATTTTATTAGGCTGACCATTTTGGCTGCAAAGGAACATCTGCAGCCAATGGAGAGGAGAACAGAAAAACCTCACAGCATATATAAGAGAAACTGCCACAAGTTGCTTTGTGAATTGGCAGCTTCCAGGAAGACCTTTTCTGTAGATACAGCTAGTGGATGTGCAAATCCTTGTATTTGTGTGAGGATAAATCCTTCTCCGCAGTGGGTTGTGCTCACTGCCAGTGACTGTAGAGAAGCTTTCCTTCCTGGAAGATGAACACTCTTTTGACTATCAACAGACCCCTGCTTCTGCATGGAGTCTTTGCCCATTGATACCTCTTTGTTATGAGCAGATACCCAGAAGACCAGCCCCCTTTAAGAAATGTTGGATATCCTACCTGTTATAGAGTTATTCTTGGTGTGTTTCTGGAAAGACTGATGGAGAAATATATGCCCCAAATTAATAGGAGGCATGGGATTTATTTTCACTGCATTTTTGAGAGAAGTTAAACATGCAGTATAGGGAATCTGATAGCAAGGATATTTTGCATGTGTATATGTTTAGATCTTGACAAAGGGCCAGGTCATGCTGTGTGATGTACTGAGTGGAAAGGGCAGGTAGGTTCTTTCCATATCCCCTTGTGAGCAGCAGTGCAGGGCAGGATCTCTCTCTTCCCATTCCTCACAAGAGTGTTGGGGAAAAACACCTGGCCAGTGCAACAACCCAAGTATGGCAGTAGGATGTAAAAGTATTCCCCAGCACCCCAGTTAGCAAATATGCTGCAGCCACCAGCACATGCTAGGCAAGGTGCATGGTACCCTGATAAAAAAAGGGAAGCAAATGACAATACATTACTAGAACTCTTTTTGGACCTAACTGCCTTGCATTGCTCTGTTCCCATCTAAATTGCTTAGCTCCATGTGGTAAGGACAGGAGTTTGTCTTGAGTAAAAGACACCTGTTCAGAATCAGTGTGATATGTTTAGACCTCACCAATTGTGGGATTGCAATTAGTCAGTCCTAGGTTTTCAGTTTTTCATACAGCTCTGTCTGATCTCTCTCTGGTGGCTAACAGCTTCTTACCAGAAGGCCAGGTTAGCCCTGGTGAAGAAATCAGTCATTTGCTGATCTCTCTTACGCTGGTGCACATCTGAGTCAATTCTGTTGACTTGTAGGAGATTGCTTCTGATTTACACTGTCAGAAAGCTGGGGCTTGAGTTCAGAAAGCTGCCATGTCTGTATACAGAATTCCAAAGCTGCTGATTCTCCCTTGTGTCCCCACCCCATCTGAGCATAGGGGTCAGAAAGTGTCTGCTGCTGTCTTTGCCATGAATGTATATGTCTGTAGGTGATTATGCAAGGGGTCTATTGTATTTCAGTGTTGGTTAGAAGTCTACCACAGACTCCTGTTACTTATATTAGAAGGTGGTCCTGTTGATACACATGGGCTAAGTTTGTCTCATGTAGGGCTGGATTTGAGGAACTTCCCCCACCCGTGAATCTCAGTGCAATGGCTGAGTTTTGTTTTTGAATTGATCAACCAAGTTCTCAACATAATGGCCTCAACTGAAGTGAAGTAGGTACAGGTATGGTCAGGATTGTGTCCTCTCTGTTCTTTGAAGGGTGTAGGAAAGTCTGCTCTGACCCATGCTCTGTTACTGTTTCTGGAGGCCCTTACACTCACCTGGTGTTGACTGCCAACACTCTGCCTCCGCTGTGTTTTCCTCCCACTCTGCCCAGATGTATGTAGCAGAACAGAGTAGAGGGCAACTGTGAATCAGTCTTCTGTGGCCTGGACCATGCACATCCCTGACTATAGAGCAGTGCTTTCACATGTGTTATGTTAAGAGCAAGTAGGGCATGTACTGCTCTCACCAAGGCCATTGATACCACTGAGGCTATTGGGGCGGGGGAACAGAATTAGTGTTGGAAAACATCTGTTATTGGCAATTAAGGTTACTTCTATTTAGGGGCTTGCATCTGGATATTTGTGTTAAAAAATCTGAATTAAACCACAGCAGTGCTGGGCATCTGAAATTTCTCCAGGCCTCTCTATGTGCTGGTAAGGGAGGGAAAGCTGCACTGCGCTGATTCCAAGTTCTGTAGCTTCCATTAAGTTGGATCATTGTCCAGGCAGATCAGGCCTACTCTGGGGACGTTTCAACTTTAACATCAGTCCAGAATCTGCTTTACCTTATTTTCTTCCTCTCTTCACCAGGCTGTGCCACAGTCCTTTGGAGAGGCAGCACAGGATCCATCTCGGTGTCCTTATTCAGTAACTGTCTGGTTTGTGTGCACATTTCTAAGTCTTCTACTGTGGAAAAGACCATTCAGGGTGTAAGAGGCAGGTCATCTGTTCCGTACAGGATACGTTTTAATTCTGTAACACTGTTGCGCTGGTTAAGTACCATGTTCATCTTTCCGATGGAGTTTTGGAGAGGCTTCTCATGGTTAGTTTGTCCCAGCAAATGTCTTCATGTCCTCAGATCGGATGCACCTTGAGTCCTTCAGAACCAAGGGCTGCCTGAGTTTTACTGCATCAGTCTGTCTCAGTGGAGAACCCTTTTTCTTTTAAGTAATGACAGTTGAAATGTGACATGGAGTTAAATAAGAGACATTGCCTGCTCCTAACTAAATGGAGAGTTAAATAAAGAGCAGCTGTCAGGGGAATTAAGACTATGCTGCATTTTTTGCTCATTAGATTCAGCAAGTCTTTGTGATCTTAGTCTTTGGGGAAGAAAGACAATGGATTCAGAGTACATGTGGCCTACCAGTCCTACCAGTGTTGTGCCTGGGGTTGGGAGAGAGACCAGGAACAGCTGCTGTCTGTGTTGGGAACTGCCATGCAGGGCTGCTGCTGTTCTGAATGTCACTGGGTCTTTTCGTCAGGCCTTATTCAGTCCCGGATAGGGTTTGCATACAGCACTGATAGCAGTGCACATTGACATTTCTGATATTTAAAAAACAAGCAGAGTAAATCTCCTTCCTAAACCAAACCAAATTTTACAGGCCTTTTTATACCCATAGAAAAAACAGAAAAGGCATGTACCAATTAAATCCTTTGTAGATTACTTTAAAAGGAGGAAGGAAAGAATTGGTGTTCTGGTTCTGAGTCCCTCTTTTCTTCCTCACCCTTTCTCCCCGGGCCACAGCACAATGACAGACTGAGGTCTGTAGAAAATGGTTGTGAAACATCTGCAGTCTAAGTAGAAAGGACAGAAAGGTATGTGGTATCTTGTCTTTGATTTTTCTCAGTGAGAAGAGCCCCAAATGAGTAAACCCTATTAATTTTTAAAAACTATGTATTAATATTTTATAGTAAAAAAAATGCAGTTGTATGGATTTTTTTATAAGCTCCATCCTCAGGATGACAAAAATTGCTGTTTAAAAAACATGATTTTGCTTATATCTTCCACCCACCTTCACTTTAATATCTCTGAATCTGAAACCCAGAATAAGGTATCCTAAGACTTCTTTTCAGGATAACAATGCAAAACAGCAGTACTATGGTGCAGATCCTTAACCGAGGTAAGTTTTCAGAGCACCATTGACTTCAGTAGATCTCAGAACTCACACCTGCTGGTATCTTTCCCAAGTGATTAAGCCAATCAAAAAACTCTGTGGTGAGAAAATACTAAAGTGGTCGGTCCCCTTAGCAGAGAGAGAGAGAAAAATGATCAGGCCATAGACAAGATATGTAAAGATAGGAAGCAAGAAGTGTAATTTAAAAATAGGCAGGAACTTGATGAGCTGCAGAGAAATGGAAAGTTGGTCCAGATGGCAGGAGCTGCAGAAGAGAGAAGGTTTTCTCCTGAGTAGCGGTGAGTGGGAAGAGATGATGAGAGTTGTAAATGAGCAAAGAACGTGGGTGTAAAATGCTATCAGACCAGAATGGCACCTGCTTTGCCCTTACTTGGCTCAGATGCACATGACTATTACCCTGTACTATGCTGGGCACAAAGGCTCTGAGGTGGTGTAAGGTGAAGCAAGCCTATGGACGGTGTTGTTAAATCTGAATCCTGGAATGAACAGAGGGGCAAGCTGTGCAAAGGCTTTTAATTCTTAAGGGTGTTGGTTCAAATCCAGTCCAGATCTATAATGATGATGGCTGTTTGTTAGCCAGAAGCACGTGAAATTTCCTTAGCTCAGTTCCCAGGTGAGTGGACAGGAGTCTGCATCACAAAAACTACCATTACAGCTAACACCTTTGCTATCAGAGGTATCCAGGAGTGAATTTGCATTGGAACTGTACTTTTCCCTTCAATCCTTAGGAGCGGTGTCTTTGGTTAGGGACTGGGGCATTGTGATACTCACCTACCTTGTATAAGTACTAAATAAATGTACAGTAACCAGAGTTACTGTACAATAGCACCAGCAGACGTCTTTTAGGTGATGCTGCTGTGCAGTAGCATATTAGCACTGTTAGTGCTGTGATGTGCTCCTGTGCAGGAATATTTGGCTATTGCGCAGTCAGTGTTTCACGCAGATGTGCCCAGAGAGACCTATTTTACATAGGACCCTTGTGTGCTACCAAACAGGAGAGCCTGCTATGGTTTCAGCAGAAAGAGATGAATTCATGGCAGGAGTAATTTAATTAAAGCTCCCCATCTCTGTCAATTCAAATGGCAGCAACTTGAGTCCAGCCTCATTCCACTCCCTTCCTAGCATATTGCTCTCAAAACACTCCAATGGACGTACGAAAATTGCCATATTGATTTTTAAGTGTTATTAATGGCATAGCAAAGTCTCAGTAATGGAGCCCTGGTTTCTCTCCTAAACTGATGATTCTGAGTCACTCATTTATTTCA